TTTGAGTTGGAGTCTCACTCTGTTGCCCAGGCTAGAGTGCAGTGGCATACTCATGGCCACTGCAGCCTTGACCTGCTGGGCTCAGGCAATCCTTTCATTTCAGCCTCCTAAGTAGCTGGAACTATAGGTGTGCACTACCATGCCCGGCTAATTTTTTGGTTTATTGTAGAGACAAGGTTTCGCCATGTTGCCCAGTCTGTTCTGGAACCTGTGGGCTCAGGCAATCATCTCACCTTTGCCTCCCAAAGTGCTGGGATTAAGGTCGTAAGCGACCTCACCTAGCAATTCTTTGTTAATAAAAAAAATGTCACTTTAGAATCAAAACCAAACTTGACCACAGCCAAGATATTTGGTATTATGAGAGTGTCACTAATTTTTTTAAGGCAGAATAAGATACTGAAGTTTAAAGAGTTCATGCACCATGTTACTCAAGCTGGAGTGCAGCGGCACAATCATGGCTTACAAAAGACTTGACCTCCTGGGCTCAGGTGATCCTTCTGCCTTAGCCTCCCAAGTAGCTGGGACTATAGGCGTGCACCACCATGCCTGACTAGTTTTAAAATTTTCTTGTAGAGACAAGATCTTGATATGTTTCCTAGGCTGGTCTCAAACTCCTGGCCTCAAGCAATCCTCCTGCCTCAGCCTCCCAAAGTGCTAGGATTATAGGTATGAGCCACCATGCCCAGCCCTTATATTTTAAAGACATAAATATTGACAGAAAAAAAATTGTATGCTTCAATTTGTTTCAAGCTAACATATGAAGCCGGGCGCAGTGACTCATGCCTATAATCTCTAAGCCCAGGGGTTTGATACCAGCCTGGGCAACTTGGAAAGACCTCGTCTCTATAATAAGTCAAAAAATTAGCCAGACATGGTGGTGTGCACCTGTGGTTCCAGCTACTTGGAAGTCTGAAGTGGAAGGATCGCTTGAACCCAGCAAGCAGAGGCTATGGTGAGCATGCCACTGTACTCCAGCCTAGGTGACAGAGTGAGACGCCTACTCAAAAAAAAGAACAACAACAAAAAAAACCTAACATCTGAAAGTGGGAGACCGGACAGGGCAGGACTGGCCAAGAGTCACTGGTTATAGATGTTGGACACATGGAGTTCATTATGCTATTTTCTGTATTTTATGTTCAAAATTCTTTAGCTTAAAAACATTATTTTGTGGATGTATAATTCATCCAGTCCGTGAAGGAACTATGGTCATAAGAAAGGAATATAATTAAGAGTTGGGTGCTAAGGTCAGGTTACTTGGATTCTAATCCCCACTCTGACACTCACAAGCTTATGAGGTTTTGACTAGCTACACGTCAGTTTCCTTATCAGTACAACAGAGACAGCAGTAATAGTACACATGTCAAAAGATGTTTATGAGGATTCAATAAGCTGGCCGGGCACTGTGGCTCATACCTGTAATCCCAACACTTTGGGAGGCAGAGGCGAGAGAATTGCCTGAGTCCAGAGGTTCAAGACCAACCTGGCCAACTGGACAAGACCTCATCTCTACAATAAATCAAAAAATTAGCTGGGCATGGTGGTACATGCCTATAGTTTTAGTTACTTGGAAGGCTACGGTGGAAGGATCGCGTGAGCCCAGTAGGTCCAGGCTGCAGTGGCCATGAGCGTGCCACTATACTCCAGCCTGGGTGACAGAGTGAGACTAGGTCTCAAAAACAAACAAACAAAAAAAAAAACAAAACCCTAATCTGTGAAACTCAATGCTTGATAAATATTAAGTACTTCATAAATGTACGCCAAGATCAGTCGTATTATTCCCAGTCAACAACTAGGCCACAGAGAAGTGAAGTAACATGCTCAAAGTCACACAGCTAGGTATAGGCAAAGTCAGATTTCTTTGGAGCCTCTGGACATCCAGGTGGCCCCATCCCGCACACCTACCCAAGGGCTGGCGCCCACAGCCCAGCTTACCTGGCTGGTGTGATCCGCACCCATGTGCAGCAACATTTGGACACAAGTCAGCCTGTCTCGGGCTTGTGTACTTAGCACCCGGGGACAGAGGTCAGGAGGACGCATAGCAATGTTAAGGGCCAGGATGGCTGTGTGGAGGGGGGTGAGGCCTGCAGGATGGAGACAGTGAGGAACCTGCATCTGGAGCACCCACCCTACCCAGCCTCACCTGCCATGCCAGGCCTGCCCACACCCAACTTACCCTCGAAGTCTCTGGCTTCCAGGTCAACCTGAACCCCTGAGTTAAACACAGCCTGGGAGGAAGAGAAGGCAGAGTGCTGGGTAAGTGTCTCCCAAGGCCTCCTAGCCCTGGAAGCCAAGATCTGGGCACCCAGTCCACCCCAGACACCCCACCTGCCAGCTGGACATACCGAGAGGACTCCCGGGAGGCCGTAGGTAGCAGCCACGTGCAAGACAGAACGTCCCTGATAGTCAGTGGCATTGGGCTCTGCTCCCAAGTTCAGCAGATCTTCCACAATCAAGGGCTGGTTGGCAGCAGCGGCCACCAGGAGAGGAGTCTGCAGGTCACAGGAAAGGTCAATTTGGACCTCCAGTACCCTCCACTCTGAAAACCAAGAATCTAGGCTCCCAGCCCCCTCTGTCCTCAGACCCAGGAGTTTAGGTCCCCATTCCCTTCTTCTCTAGGACGGAGTCCAGGCCCCAGCCCTCACCTTGCCCTTATGCTCACGAACGTCCAGATGTCTATACACCTGGAACACCTCAGCTGCAGCATACGCTGCCCAGCGCAGTCCTCGAGCCGCAAACAGGTGCAAGAGCCTGAGGAAATGTGGGGTCAACAGTGAGAACATCCTCCTAGCCGAGTTAAGAGTCTACAGACAGCCCTATTCCCCGACACTCACGTGTCGCCCTCCTCATCCTGGGCCAGCAGCTGTTGTGGCCCCAAAGACGCCATGTGAGCTCGGGCTGCATCAAGGGACGGTCCAGTGGCCACAGGGGACAACTGAGGAGGTCCTGCAGGGAGTGCAGAAACCCTCCAGGATCCTGCCTGGGACAGGGAAGGTTCTGCATAGAGCCGAGTGTCCGGGGTATCCTGAAGGGTGAAGGTGGTGGGGTAATCCAGTCAGCCGAGAATCCCCCTTCCTAACCACATACACATATACGTGGACAGAGCCCTGATCAAATGATTGGGTATTCCATCTGTGCCAAGTGACCCTGGCAGGTAGGCTTCAGTATTGCCCATCCGAGGAATGGGATCTTAACCCAGCTCCAGACATTTCGGAATACTGGGAAATTTTAGGGGCCCTCAGCATCCTGGCCCCACTCTGTATCTCACCTCCATCCCCTGGGGAAACGGGCATGGCCGCCCTGGGTCCGAGGGTGGGTAGAAGTCAGGAGTCAGGAAACTTTCAGCAGCAGAAGCAGGGTAAGAGAAGGGGCTGTCTGTGTAGGCAGCATGCGTGTTGGGGTCCCAGTCTGGAAAGCCCATGGGGGGCGCCAGGCTGCCAAGTCCAGAGCCCACAGTCTCCTGGTGTGCTGGGAAGTGAGGATGGCCTGCGTGTAAGAGGAAGGGTGGGGGCAGGTCTGGTTACCAGAGTTGAGGACATCACCAACAGAGTTGGAGGGCCTGGAGTCTCTCAAAGCACTCAGAGCCAGCACACCTGGGACACCAAGGGCCTGGGTCTTGGACTCCTGGGACACTGTGGGATGGAAGGCCTGGCTCCTGGGACTTTGAAGGACTGCTGAGCCCCAGAGAAGCTGGGAGTTCAAACTGTTACTGAATCCCAGCAAGAATGATGGCCTGACCCCTAGATGCCCCAAAGTTCTGAGAGCTGGGATGTTTGAGTCATTTAGGGAAACTGGGGCTGGGAGCCGAGAAAGCCAGATGAGTTTCTAGACTTACCAGCCTCAGCCTCATTCACAGATGGGGTCAGGGGCTGAGCCAGGGGAGGCGGGAACTGTCCCTGTAGAGGCATAAGCAAAAAAGGAACACAGGTGAATTTATCTGGCAGATTCCTCAGGATCTGTTCCCGACTGAGTCAGGACTACTTGTCTCCTCAGCCCTGAGGGCCCAGTAAGCCAAAAAGTTCCTGCCAGACAGCACAGGGCGTGATGAGAGCTGTAGTTTTCAGGGCTTCCTGGCCTCACCTGTACCCCACCAGCGTCGGGTTGCTGCTGCTGGCGGCGCCTCTGTTCTTCCAGGAGCTTCTTCACGGTCTGCGTTGGGCAGTGGCTGCGCTCATTCCGGCTCACTGTGGGGGAGGAGAGGAAGTCATCAGGGGTCCTTAAGTCACCCAAATGCACGGGGGAGGAGGGGGAGTGGGTTTGGGCGCCCTCCCTCCCGCGCGGAAAAACTGGCACGTCGATGCCGCCCCACGACTCCAAAGCCATCAGAAGATTTGGGGTGGGGCATCCGCCTCCGCCGTTTCCTTCCCTTTGCTCCGCACTTTCCCTCTGACCCAACTTTCCACTAGCGTCGTGGAAACTGAGGAAGGGGGAGGGCACGCCTCTGCAGCAACCTCCGCCCTTCCGTAAAACATCCCTGCTCCCCAGATCTCCCGGTCCAAGAGCCTTGGGGTCGCCGGCATCACTCCTTGGAGAAGCATGTCCAGGTTCCCCACACTTCTCTGCCCCAGAAGCTGACCCGCTACGCCTCCCTCGGAAAACCGGGCGTCCGAGCCCACGGCCCCCATCCCCAAGGAACCACGAGTCAGCAGCCCCCTGACTCATCAGGGTCCCCCAGCCCCCCTCAGTCAGTCTCGGGAGTCCAGCTCCATCCCGCAGACGCACAGGCCCGGGCTCAGCACTGTCCTCCCCAGGACCCACAAGCCGAGCTCTCGGGCCCCTCCTCTCTAGGCCCTGGGAGACCGGGTCCCCAGACGCCTTCTCACGGCCCAGGAAGACAAGCCCCTCAATCCTCGGCCTTCCGAGCCCGGGCCCCGGCGGAGGAAGGGGTCAGCGCCGGAAGGCCGACCCGGAAACAGCCCCGACGCGACGCGCTGACGTCACGGCGCTCGCGTAAAGGAATCTTCCACCGGCCCCGCCCCCGCCCGGTCCCGCGCCGCAGGTGTCCCGCTCCCAGGCGGGGCGCGCGGCGGAGCGTGGCGCTGGCGGAATCCCCGCACGAGGGGAATTCCTCCTCCGCCCCGCGCGGGGGGCGATTCGGGAAGTCCCGGGGCGGGGCAGGGTCACGGCCAGCGCGGCCCCCTGCAGCCGGGCGCCGGACCTTCCCCGGAGGCCGATTTTAAATCACCATATCTCCGCGCCCTAAGGGCAGCCCCTCCTTCCGGGGAAGAGGGTCCCGGCCGCCGGAACCCGCTTCCCCGCGACAGGACCCATCCAGATCTAGCCGGCCCTTTCATCCCCGGGACCCAGGAGTCTGGATCCCCTGCGCCCCCAGGACCCGGAAGTCCAGAGTCCCCGCAGCTCCTCCGTCACGACCCGGAAGTCCGGGCTCCCTGCCCCCCAACAGCGGGGATCCTCACTCTGGGGTCGCCCGACTCGGCCTCCAGCTCCGTTCCTCGGGGACTCGCGGCTCCCCTCCCCGGCCCCAACCTCTTCAGGGGCAGATCGCGCCTCCCCCACCCGTTACCTCGGGGGTTCCGGGACGCGGGTTGCGGGCCCCCAGGGCCGCGGCCTCGCCGCTGCGCCAGCCTCGCTGCTCCCCCGCGGAGCCGCCGCCGGGGCCCCGATCTTGGGCCAGGGCCCCCGCGAGTTTTTAAACTGCGGCTCTAGCCCCGCCCAGTCCTGGGCAGGGCCCGCCCACAGGCCTGGGAGTCCCCGCGTCGCGCCCCAGCAGACCCAGTCTCTGAGTGGGCGGGGCCGCCTTGGGGAGAAGGACTCCCGAGTCTCCCGGGAAATGGGAGTGGGGCTCCAGGTCTTTGGTCTGAGAGAGTCGAGGGTGCCTGACTCCAGGAGGGGGAGGACACCGGGGGCCTGGACTTCTGGGTCTTGGTCCAAGAGGATGCTGAAAGCCTTGACTCCTGGGCCCTGGCTGGTGTGGGTAGGGGTGGGGGCAGTGTTACTGGGTCCTGGGGGAGGAGAGGACTGGAGGTCTCTGGTCCCCGGGAAAGAAATATCTGGAGGTAAGGGCAGTACAGGTGTGCTCAAATGTCTCTCTCTTCCCCACATCATCTTTTTCAGAGGTCAGGTTTCACTTATTCGTCCATCATTTAAAATAATTTATTACTGCAGGGGAGGCACTTTGCTGGGTGCTGTGGTAGAGCCCTGAGCAGGAATTCCCAGCCCTCACACTGACTGACATTCCAGTGGGAGGCTGTTCTCAGTTCCCACTTGGTGACCATGGCACCAGCCACATTGACTCTATTTCTCCCCTGCTTTCAAGACTGGGTGCTCTCCTGGGTCTCCTCCCTTACCGACTCCTCCCTCTTGGCTTCCCAGTCTGGTTCCTCCTCTTCTCCCGTTCTGTGTGTGTGTGGTGGGGGGGTCCTCTGTACTCACTGCCTTGGTGACCTCATCCAGTCTCATGGCTTTAAAAACCATCCATAAGCTGCCAACCCCCAAATGTACATCTCCAGACCAGACTTATCCCACAAACTCATAAATGCAGCTGTGGCTATTCAACATCTCCACAGGGAGATTATCAGGCATTTCTAACTCAGTGTGCCCAAACCTGGGCACTTTCCCCTCAAACCTGGCTCCCCCCATTCTCCAGCTCTGCCAATGGACACTCTGTCTTTTCAGCTGCTTGGCCACGCCGAATCTCTCTTATACAAACCCACTTCTACTTCATCAGCACATTTTGTGGGCTCTCCCTCCAAACTATTTCCAGATCTCCCTGGCGTCCACACCCTGGGCCACCTGTCACTCCCACTTGGGCCATCACAGCAGCCAGCCTCCCTGGTTTCTCTGACCCTCCCTGCCCCCCGTTGGTTCTCCAGAAGTATTAACAGAGACACTCCCCCCCCCCCCCCACGCACACACAGGAAGCTGATGGCTTTGCCACCAGCAGGGTGACATCCGCTATTGCTACTATTCTAGTTCTCCAGGGCTCATCAGGACTTCTCTGGACTACAGTCCTTTACCAGACCCCTGGCAGCCCTCAGCTCACCATGGTCCCTCCAGGCCACATCCTGCTGCTGCTTTTGCTCCCAGGTGAAGCCAGTGGTTATGGGGAATGGCAGGCAGAGCATGTGAGAAGGGTGCTTGGGTGACATCTGAAGGGAGGGGTGCTGAGGGTGGGGATCTTCTTTCGCCCTGTGTCCCTTCCCTTCCTAGAGAGGCATTCAGCTTCAGAACCTGGGGCCTGGGAGAGGTGAGGCGGGGAGTTCTGAGCGGCTGGCTGCCTGGTTGGCTTTTTTGTTGTTGGTTTTTGAGTTGGAGTCTCTGTTGCCCAGGCTGGAGTGTAGTGGCATGCTCACAGCCACCGCAGCCTCAACATGCTGGGTTCAGGTTATCCTTCACCTCAGCCTTCCAAGTGGCTGGAACTACAGTCACACGCCATCACACCCGGTTAATTTTTTTTTTCACTGTAGAGCCAAGGTCTCACCAAGTTGCCCAGGCTGGTCTCAAACCCCTGGACTCAGGCAATCCTTTCGCCTCAGCCTCCCAAAGTGCTAGGATTACAGACTTGAGCTACCACGCCCAGCGTGGCTGCCTGTTAATCTCCCCTTCTCATTACCAGGTGTCTGCTGCTGCTTCCAATTTTCTGTGTTTCTCTGGAAGCTTCTCTTCCTTTTGACCCTCCTTTTCCGTTCAATCTCTCCAATGTGGGGACTACTTCTCAGTTCATCATCTTTCCCTGCACCCTGTTCTGGGAGCCACTTCTCATCCATCTCTTCCCTCTTTCCACAGTGGCTGCAGCTCAGACAACCCCAGGTGAGAGATCACTCCATCCCTTTTACCCTGGTGCTTCAGATACTGCTCCCATCCCAGAACTTGACCTGAGGGCCTCAGGACACCCCGGTGACTCCCCAGGTCACCATCTCACCTCCCGTCCCCAAATCAGAGCACCCAGAGGATCTACAGCCCTCTCCAGGTCCCATCTTGCTTTCTTCATCACCAAATCAGAGCTCCAGAAGGGGTGACGCCAGCCTCTCTTTGGGAGTACCTCGTGTGCACAGCACCCCAGGGTGCTGGGACACCCTGACCTCTCTGGAGTTCCATCTCTGCTTTCCTTTCCCGAACGCAATCCCAGGGAGCCTGGGATCCACCCCCCCTCACAGATGACTTCCTCTTCTCCCTGTGGCCAACGCACAGCCAGACCCAGAACCGGCCTGAGCTAACTTCTTTCTCGGCCCCCACGCTCCAGGTTCCTGTTCCGGATGTGGGCCCCTCTCCCTGCCGCTCCTGGCAGGCCTCGTGGCAGCTGATGCATTCGTGTCCCTGCTAATTGTGGGGGCGGTGTTCCTGTGTGCCCGCCCACGCCACAGACCCACCCAAGGTGAGGGCAGCAGTGGGGTGGGACCTGGAAGGTGGGTGGTGCCCCTAGAGAGGAGGTCCCAGGGTGGGGGCCCCTGGGGAAGCCCTGGAGGTGGTGCTGGGGAAACCCTGGAGGAGGTGCCTGGGGGAACCCCTGAGGAAACCCCTGAGGCAGGGGGTCCCCGGGGAGGTAGAGACGTGGGGCGGATGGTGGGTGGTCAGGCTTCATGCTTCTCTCTCCCATCCCCAGAAGATGGCAAAGTCTACATCAACATGCCTGGCAGGGGCTGACCCTCCTGTAACTGCGACCTTTGATTCTGACCCTCTCATCCTTGATGGCGTGTGGTAGCACAGGGATTCCCCCCACACACAAACACACACACGCACGCACATACCCTTTTGGCTTGAAATAAAGCAGTTGAAACCCCTGTAGTTGTATTCTTCCTTTAAAAACTCCAGGGTTGCTGGGCTCGGTGGCACAGCCTGTAATCCCACACCTTGGGAGGCTGAGGTGAGTGGATTGTCTGAGCCCGCGGGTTCGAGACCCGCCCGAGCAACATGGCGAGACCTCATCTCTACAATAAATCAAAAATTTAGCCGGGCGTGGTAGCGCGCACCTGTAGTTCCAGCTACTTGGAAGGTGGAGGTGGAAGGATCGCCGGAGCCCAGCAGGTCGAGGCTGCGGTGGCCGGGAGCGGTCACTGCACTCCAGTCTGGGCGGCAGAGTGAGACTCCAACTCAAAAAAAAAAAAACTCCAGGGTTCCCAAAGCCTCTTTCCCTCCCATTCAGCTGTTTCTGAGCCCAAGACCTCTGCAGGGCCCCACAGATTCCATCTCATCAGCCCAGGGAGCTGGCATAACTCAACAATGTTTTTGTGCTTCATGTTTATTTTGGGGCAACAAGTAGAGAAAGATCTGATCTCTCGGGAGAGCACTCTGTGAGTCTGTATCTTGGCAGGAGTAGGAATGAGATACTGGACAGGCATCAGGAATGACTGGATCCAGGCATCAGGTTGTTGATTGTCGTGGTTTGGCCTCATTTGTAATACTGCCTCTGTGTGTTGAGGTCACTGTAGACATCTGGTCTCTGACCCTGAAGCTCCTAAAGGGACGGGGGCCATCAGTGGAAGGAGTCTACCAAATAAACTTAAACAGAATCCAGCCTTCTTCCAGTGGCCTGCAAAGCCCCTGGCAGCCTCTTCTACCTTGTAGCCATGGGAGAGATCTAGATTTTATTTAAATGCATTCAGTGTCCCTCTTTTCTCTCTGTCTCATCCTTATACTCCAGCCTTAGGGTCTGTTCCCTCTGCTGGAAAAACTGATCCTCCCCTTCATGTCTAAACTCATGTCACCTCCTCAGGGGGATCTTTCTCAACTTCCCCATCTACAGTTTATTTCCTCTACACCCAAGCCACTGTCACATCAGTCTGCTTTATTTCCTTCATGTTATCTAGCAAAATGATTTTAAGTCACTTCAAGTCTTTCTTCCCAACTAGGATGTAAACCCTCCTGCTGTGTCCCCAGCATCTAGCACAGATAGGCGCCCAGCACACCCACTAAAGAAGTGAGTAAGTCAGGTAACACTTTGCCCTAAATTTCCACTGCCTCCAGGAACTGGAAAGCTCCCTTAGCCTTCTGGACATCACAGAGCCAAACTCAAGAGTGTTACACTTCACAAAGAAACTTTTTATCCACATGTAAGAATAGGCAAAGCTTGTTGCAGACAGTAAATCAGATTTCATAGAGCACAGTTTATAATTGCAGGAGTGAGGAGAAAATATCTATGGCCCCAAGGGGCAGACCTCAGACAGAATCCCCGAAATCATATACAAATGATTGGCCTGTGTGTGCATTTTCTCAGGGAGGAGTCTTAGAGGATCTCATAACTCCCTAAAGGATTTAGAAGGAACTTTGACAGAGAGAAGGAGAGATGGTTAGATGTCCCGTCTACATTGGGTTTTTTTTGTTTTGTTTTGTTTTGAGTCAGAGTCTCACTCTGTCTCCCAGGCTGGAGTGTAGTGACACACTCACAGGCACCGTGACCTCGACCTGCTGAGCTCAGGTGATCCTTCTGTCTCAGCCTTCCAAGTAGCTGGAACTACAGGTGTACACCACCACACTGACTGATTTATTGATTTATTGTGGAGACAAGGTCTCACTAAGTTGCCCAGGCTGGTCTCGAACCCCTGGGCTCAGGCAATCCTCTCGCCTTTACCTCCAAAGTACTGGGATTACAGATGTGAGCCACCACACCTGGCCTGCATCATGGTTTCTTTTTTTTTTTTTTGAGTTGGAGTCTCACTCTGTCACCCAGACTGGAGCGCAGGGGCCGCTCCCAGCCACCGCAGCCTCGACCTGCTGGGCTCCGGCGATCCTTCCGCCTCAGCCTTCCAAGTAGCTGGAACTACAGGCGCGCGCTACCACGCCCGGCTGATTTTTTATTTATTGTAGAGATGAAGTCTCACCAAGTTGCCCAGGCGGGTCACGAACCCGCTGGCTCAGGCCATCATGGTTTTTAAGAAGAGCTTCAAGGACACTTGCACTGTCCCTAGAGTAATATGCACAATTTTGTATTTCGAGTGTGGATTTTTCTGAGGAGTCTCCAGCTTTTGCCAGCTTCTCAAAGAGATGCAGGATCCCCCCAAGTCCCCCCACCAAACAGACTCTAGGACTACTCTCCTTCTTTCTTCAGAGTTACCAAACTAGGGCTAAGTTACATTTACCCTACTGAGAGCCCATAAATTGGCCTGTCCTAGGGCCGGGCTTTCTCCAGAACAGTTTGAGGACTGCCTTTCTGGTAAGGCCTGCACTTGCCCTTAGCAAAGGCAAACCCGCCTCTTTATTTCCTCTTTGCACATTCTAAGCTGAGCATAAGGTTGTGTTGATAATTTCACACAGTTTTGAGCAAATGCTCCATGTGCCTTTAAGGTTTTGGGGAGCTGCTGGGAAGTGGCTTTAGGGTCCCCAGGAGGGCACAGGGAGGCATGTGGGACACGACACCCCAGGCAGGAGTGAGATGTGAGGAAGTCTGGTTTTCTCACCTGATAAGGAGACTCAGTCTCTGCAATACGCTGTTTCCGCGTCACTGCAGCGGGTAGAGGGTGGCACACAATACAAAGACAAGGACATGAGTTCAGTCCCTCAGTTACCGTCCAAGGGACGTTTTGACCCGGGAGCTCTCCCACCCGCAACCAGGCAAGTCCTGAGTGTCCCAGGCCATCCCCCACCAGCTCCACTCACCCTCCGCGGCCCCTCGCCCCTGGGGAACCAGCCGACCCAGAGAGTACACAGCCAGGGCGATGAGCAGGGTCAGCACCAGGTCACCCAGCACAATCCCTGCCAGCACACCAGGGCTCACCGTGGAGCAGTTGCACTCTGGGAATGTGGGACAGGGGTCGGGGGAGGTCAATGTAAGCTGGGAATTATGGGAAGGGTGTCAGCAGGGGGAGGTTTGGAAAGACCTGGGAAGGGACAGCGATGAGGAGGTATTTGGGAGGCAGAGAGAGGGATTGCAGGATGTAAGCCTACCTCTCTGGGCCTGGACAGGACTGAGACCTAAGGAGGGAAAAAGGTGATCAGCTAAGGCACAGGTCTAGGGTGGGGAGCGTGGGTATAGAAGTTGGGGCGGGTGAGTCCTGACGGCCAGGAGAGCTGTGTCTTGGGGACTTGGAGGGCTGGTGTTTAGGCTATTGGGCTGTGTTACATCTACACTGACTTGTCCCGTGACAGCACCCTTGGATGTCCCCTGCCCTCCGACTTCTAGCAGAGGCCAAATCTTGGGAACTCAGGCTCTGGGACAGAGCCACAGACTTTGGGGGCTGGGACCTGCTTCTGTCCCAACCTTCCCCTTTTGTTCTCTTGTACCACCCTGCTCCCTGTCCAGCCGCCAGCTGAGCTCAGGACTCAGGAGGCAGTGGCAGAAGCCCCCAACTCACCACCCACAGTCAGAAGGAGCAGCGGGAGCAGGAACTTGCTCGAGGCTTCAAGGCCCCCCATGATGCCGGATGCTGCTGGACACCACCTTCAAGGGCCGGTGGGACGTGGCGTAGCGTCCAACCAAGTGAAGGAGGAAGTCTGAGGCGGGTGGGGGCAGGAGGGAGGAGGGGACAATACGGGAGGAGGGACAGAGAGAAATAACACCAGAAAGAATCAGGCCCAGACACCCTAGGGGCCACTCCACAGCCCTTAATGGCTAGACGTGAAGAGCAAAGGGTTCATGCATCAACTCTTGAGCTCGATCCCCAGTCATGGGTCAGATATCACTGTAACAAGGTCAGTGGCTTGATCCTCCTCTGGTTGATTGAAGCCAGCTCTACTTTTTCCTGGCTGGGCAACCTTAAGCAAATCACTTAATCTCTCTGGGCCTCAGTCTCTTCATCGGTAAAATTGAGAGTAAAATCGTACCTAATTTGTAGAGTTGTTATGGGGATGAAATGAATTAATGTTCCTAGAACAGGGTCTGACCCTTGTCAGTTTTTTATAAGCATCAGCTATAATTATTATCATTTGATAACCAGAGCTTTGTGATGTTTACAGGATACTAAAAGAGAGCCATCAGCATGTGGGCAATAATGACATGCTGATACTCTGTTCCAAGTGTTAAATCATTCAATCATTCAAGCACTCATATATGCTTTTATCAGCTCCATATACAGAGAGATAAAGACACTTGCCCAAGGTCACACAGCAAATAAAGATGGAGGCCAGGTGTGGTGGCTCATGCCTGTCATCCCAGCACTTTGGGAGGCTGAGGTGAGAGGATTGCTTGAGCCCAGAAGTTCAAGGCCAGCCTAGGCAACATAGTGAGACATCGTGCCTCCAAAAAAATCACAAAATTAGTGAGGCATGGTAGCAGGTGCCCGTAGCCCCTTGGGAGGCTGAGGCACAAGGATCACCCTGGGTCCAGGAGGTCGAGGCCACAGTGAGCTGTGATCATGCCACTGCACTCCAGCCTGGGTGACAGAGCGAGACCCCGACTCAACAATAAATAAATAAATAAAAATAAAGGTGGAAAAGAAACCCAGGACCCAAAGACAGATTTTTGACTCTTGGAGAGAGAAGAAAAAATGGGGAGAGAAGGGAAAGGAGAAGATAGCAGTAAATCAGAGAAAAGAGGAGAGAACCAGACAGTGGCACAGATCCAGGCAGCACAGACGGGACTGGGGCTCGGGTGAGGCAGGTGGCTGGGCTACCCTGCTAAATGAAGAGGTGGCTGGAAGCAAGAACTGAGGGTGGCCACCCAGGTGGAGACAGAGACTTCTAGCCTCCAGCAGGAGCCTGAGCTGGGGCTGGGGAAGGAGGAACTTGAGGTCAGGGCGCTGGGGGACGAGCCAGCTGCAGGAAGCCCCCCTCCCCCATCCACACGTCACACCCTCCGTTCCCTGGGCCTAGGCTCAGGAGAGAAAAGGGGAAACTCCATGCTGGTCAAGGGGCAGACATTGAGTGGCCAGCGGGGGAGGGGAGGGGAGGGGAGGAGATTTGAAGTCTGGAGGAGGATCAGGGCCCAGACTGAGGCAACACTGGCTGCCAACATGGTGACCTTTGTCCAGACCTCCGAGTCCTGTCCCTAAAGAATCCACACCTCTCTCTTAGGTCTGGAGTGAGTATGGAAGGAACAGACCCCATGGCCTCTCCTGAGCACACCAGGCCTCTCAAGGCACGGAAGCAGAGTGAGCAAGGGGCAGAGACCCAGCCGGGCTGTGAGCCCGGAGGGCCTTGACCTGACTCCCTCTGGCTGCAAGTGGAGAGCAGGCTGTGGGAGCAGGGATGGGAACAGGGAAACCAGGCTGTGGGATGTCCTGCTGGGATGTCCAGTTTAGTGTGAGGATTTTGTGAGGTCTGTTAGACTAGTGCTTGGTACACTGTGTGTGCTCAGGAAATGCTGATCATTTCCAGGCACGGTGGCTCATTCCTGTAATCACAGCATTTTGGGAGGCGGAGGCGAGAGGACTGCCTAAGTCCAGGGGTTTGAGACCAGCCTGGGCAACATGGCAAGACCTTGTCTCCACAATAAATCAAAAAAATTAGCCAGGTGTGGTGGTGCATGCCTGTGGTTCCAGCTACTTGGAAGGCTGAAGCAGAAGGATCAACCGAGCCCAGTAAGTGTCACTGCACTCCAGCCAGGGCAACAGAATGAGACTCCTACTAAAAAAAACAAAACAAAACAAAAAATGGATCATTATCACTATCATGACTGTTGCTGTTATTACGTCCAATCTTTAGTACTGGGAGCACCCGTTTTGTTTGTTTGTTTGTTTGTTTGTTTGTTTTGAGTTGGGATCTCTGTCACCCTGGCTGGAGTGCAGTAGCACAATCACAGCACACCATAGCCCCGACCTCCTTGGCCAAGTGATCCTTCCACTGTCTCCCAAGTAGCCGGGACTACAGGCATGTGCCACTATGCCTGGCTACTTTTTTTATTTTTTGTAGAGATGAGGTCTCAATATGCTGCTTAGGCTGGTCTTGAACTCCTGAGCTCAAACAATCCTCCTGCTTCGATATCCCAAAGTGTTGGGATTATAGGCATGAGCCACCGTGCCTGACTAAAAGCCTGTTTTTGTTTTAAGTGAAGATGGGCTCTCACCATGTTGCCCAGGCTGGTCTCGAACCTCTGGCCTCAGTAATCCTCCCACCTCAGCCTCCCAAAGTGCTGAGATTACAGGTGTGAGCCACTGCACCTGGCCATAGAGAACCTTTTTAAAAATAAATTTTAGAGCTGGGCTCAGTGGCTCAGCCTGTAATCCCGTGCCTTGGGAGGCTGAGGTGAGTGGATTGCCTGAGTCCGTGGTTTCGAGACCCACCTGGGCAACTTGGTGAGACCTCATCTCTACAATAAATAAAACATTAGCCAGGTGTGGTAGCACGCACCTGTAGTTCCAGTTACTTGGAAGACTGAGGTGGACGGATCGCTGGAGCACAGCAGGTCAAGGCTGTGGTGGCCGGGAGCGGCCACTGCACTCCAGTCTGGGCAACAGAGTGAGACTCCAATTCAAAAAAATTTTTAAAATAAATTTTAGGCCGGGTGTGGTGGCTCAAGCCTATAATCCCAGCACTTTGGGAGTCCAAGGCTAGAGGATTTCCCAAGTTCAGGGGTTCGAGACCAGCCTGGGCAACTTGGTAAGACCTCATCTCTACAATAAATCAAAAATTAAGCCAGGCGTGGTAGCGTGCACCTATAGTTCTGGTTATTTGGAAGGCTGAGGTGGAAAAATCATCTGAGCTCAGCAGGTTGAGGCTGCGGTGGCCATGAGCGTGCCACTGTACCAGTCTGGGCGACCCAGTGAGACTCTGACTCAATAAATAAATAAAGATAAATAAATAGCCGGGCTCGGTGGCTCAGCCTGTAATCCCGCATTTTTGGGAGGCTGAGGTGAGTGGATTGCCTGAGCCCGCGGGTTTGAGACCTGCCTGGGCAGGCAAGACCTCATCTCCACAATAAAATCAAAAAATCAGCCGGGCGTGGTAACGCGCACCTGTAGTTCCAGCTACTTGGAAAGCTGAGGTCGAAGGATCGCCGGAGCCCAGCAGGTTGAGGCTGTGGTGGCCGGGAGCGGCCACTGCACTCCAGTCTGGGCGACAGAGTAAGACTCCAACTCAAAAAAAAAAAAAAGAAGATAAATAAATAAATTTTAAAATACATTTTTTTGTAGACATGGGCTCTCACTATGTTACTCAGACTGATCGCGAACTCCTGACCTCGATCCTCCCACCCTGGCCTCCCAAAGTGCTGGGATTACAGGCATGAGCCACCACACCTGACCCTAGGTTTACCATTATAAAAATCCTCCCTCAATTCCTCAACTTCAGCCTCCTGATCTCATCCTCCCAGCTGTAGCCAGGCCTAGGGTGTCCCCAGAAGATACTGAGTCTAAGGGCCAGGACACCCAAGCACCATCCAATCAGTACAGATGTGACCATAGAGGCTGGGTCAAGGGTTCTAGAGGCCCCTCTTGTTGCTGAGATGTGGGGAAGTCCAAAGAGTCCCAAGGGAACAGACTGGTGTGGTGGCAGACATCTGTGGGCTATGTGGGTTCTTTACTAACCAGAGGTGAACCATTTCAATATTGTAGCAACGGACAGAACTGTGCTGGTGTGGACCACTGACGGCAGGCCTGAGCTGGTCTCTGGGCCAGAGGGGCAGATAAGGCTCTCACTTTGGGTGAAGGAAGAGGCTGAGTTGGAGGGCACCGGCTGACCTGAGGTAGTGCCAGACTCCAGGAAGCTGGGCTGAGGGCCTCTGCACCAGATCTGAAAAGTGTCTCAATCTCTTCTGGCAGCAGCCCAAGAGTTGAAGGCCATCATTGACTTTCCCAGAAACCAGAAACTCTCAGCCACCGCAACCCCGACCTGCTGGGCTCAGGTGATTCTTCCATCTCAGCTTTCCAAGTAGCTAGAACTACAGGCACGCACCATCATGCCCGGCTAACTTTTTGATTTATTGTAGAGATGAGGTCTCGCCAAGTTGCCCA